CCCCCCCCCCCCCTCGGATATATTATGTAACAAGGACGGTACCATAGACCCAACGTACATCCCTTCCGACCGACTGCATCGTGTAAACAAGTCAGGACTCGATGATGGCTGGAGAGAAAGCTCCAACACCTCATCGCACCTTGCTACGAACCCTCGGAGAAAAACAGCGACAACACCCGAGATGACGTGGAGAGAACGACACCAAAATAACCATCAATAACCACGACACAACACATAGACCGCAAGAGCGTGTGGTCGTCAGCATGGACAACATCCTCACCGGCAACAACACCAACAACATTAGCATAACAACAACATCGCCAACAACAACACAACCACCACCAAGTAGGCAAGTTAAGCAGCAAGTACCAGAAAGAATACCACAGGAGCACACCATCCGACGAGCTTCGACCCCGGCTTCCTCAGGCAGAACAAACAACATCAACCGACTCACTTTCACCACAGACACACACGTTCTCTTCTTCGTTGGTTAGCTGTTTAGCGCAGTCGATGCTACCGTAACAAACGCCCCGCCCCTGGCCAACATTTTCACGGGAAAATCTCGTGAAAACTGGCTAGGCCACCGAACCATCTTCGGAAACGATTTTCCTACCATACCGTACAACTGTACCCATCCTCTCTGCATATGCACGTCTTGCAATTAGTCGGCCAAGTCAGTTGACCAGTGGCGACGCATCCAAGCACGCCTTTTGGGAGACGGCCCGGTATTTCCTACTCCCGTGGGACAAACTGCTGTAAACACTCTGGCGGCACGTACTATTTTCTACATCGACATCATACATTCAACATCGGAAAAACCCCGGCCAACCATTCCCATATTTCTCTCTGGGCACGATTTTGCGGCTGACAAGAAGCGCACGCAGTCGGGGGAAAAGACTTTCCGCTGCCTGCAAACAAACGGAAGCTATGAGCACCGGTGAACATTGGAACAAGAAACAAAACAATTACGCGCAGCCATCCATTCCAATGTCGCCGCCCCCACCGCACGCGCTGTAGCTGCCGGGGCGACGGTTTCGGCTTTTTTCGACATGGAACCCTACTACGATAGGAGTACTAAAGTAAAGAAAAGCGTCTACATAGAACCTCGAACAGCACGAACGAATAGATAGATAGGAAAGCAAACACGGCACGTGCGAAACGCAACACAAGCCGCAAAAAACTTGGGGGGGGGATTGATTTTGTATCACACGTCGGAGTAGACATACGACCGCTTCGAGGAAGACCTAGCCGCGCGCTTGTTGGGGGTGATGGCAGCAATTCCGCGTGTTCGTCGCAAGTGGCACACGTGAAATGACATCCGATGGTGGCAGAACACCAACCCACCAGGAGGGACACAAAAACAGCACGGCGACAATGACAATCAACACGGCCCTATCCTAGCTATTGCTGTCTCATTTTCCTCCACACTCGCCTGCATATGGAATACCGTGTCACGAAAACACAAAAACAGACCCAGCGAAACAAAACACCCACAAACCAGGGGACAACCCCCCCCCCCCCACCCGCTCCCCGCCCCCGCCCGCACACTTGTCGGGTTTAATCACCCACCGATCACTTGGAAAGACGAAACCTAACCCACCCGAAGGGAAATGAACGTGGCGACAGCGCCAAGAGTTAATCTTCGTAGATTTGTTCCTTTCTTATCACCTAGCCTACTGTCGTTGCCGACAATCCACCACATATGCCCCCCTTCCCCCCCCGCAACCCAAAAGTCGCGTCCCGCACTACGCCTATCCCCCCCCCCCCCCTCCCCCCCCCCCCCCTCCCCAACCTCTCAAAGGAATTCAAGCGGCACAAGTAACGAAGTCCTCCCCGGTACTACCCACCGCGGACGTTGACGCCCGCTGCTGCGTGGACGCCGCCGCCGCCGCTGTTGGCGGGACACCGGCGTCCTTCTTGGTGCCGGCGGCGGCTGCTGCTACCTGGTTAGCTGCTACCTGGTTATCTCCAGGCAGCGGTGACGACGCGGTGGTGTTGACAGCGACGGCATCGGCGGCGGCGGCGGCGGCGGCGGCGACGACGAGAGCGGAAACGGCCGTCTGGCCGGTTCCCACGCTTTCGGTGGAGGAGCACGTGCGCCGCTGGTGCCCACCGACTGCATCAGCCCTCACGGGCCTCTCTTGGGTGGCCTTTGGGAAGGGAGGAGGAAATAACGTAGAGTTATGCATGGGACGCGTGGGGAGAGGGGGGGAGGGGCGCAGCATGCTCAGCTCGAGACCGTTTCGGCTGGGGGCATCTCGTACAGCGTACAAGTACTGTCGTCATGTTGTTGTTGTTGTTGACTTCACATTAAACCGTATGCCAGTTGCTAAATGCCAAAATCTAGCAAAGACTCTCGGCCCGTGGTCACGAAAGTGCTAGAGCCATCTGAGGATCTAAAGAACACGCACACGTAGCAAGAAAAAGGTGTACAAGAGCCCGA